GTTCAGGACGTTGATTCCAGCAGGGTATGAAAGGTGGCCGTAACTCTCACTTCAGAGGGGACAGACCTCAAGTGGTGAGGCTTTGTAGGAAGCATTTGGAAATCAAAAAGGCTTGTGGACAAAAACTGAGTTCAGATTTCTCTTTGATAGTTATTTTTCGGAAACTTCCCCCAAATCCCAAACCAGCAGAAGTAGTACTTGACCGCACACAGCACTTGGGGATTTCTTTTGGGCGAGGGTGGCAGTGTCCTCTGCTGAGGACTGTCCCCAGCGCTGGATCAGAGAGCAGGCGCTCTGCATCCCACCCACCCTGAGCACTGCTGTGGGACCCTTGTTCCTATTGCTTGAGCAAATTCTTCCATAATTCTACTTTACTTTTTCTTCTTAGTGGCCAGTAACTTCCCGTTTGTTCTCCTGATAAATACCAGAACTTCAGCTAAAAATGGAGAAGTCGTCTAGATTCTCTTATCTTGTAAAACCCTAGCAACGGTGTGCTGTGGTCGAGCTCTGGCAGATCCCCCCAACAGTCAGAGGCGTCCATCTGCAGCCGCTTGCTGCTGTGCCCTTCTGACAGCACTCGCTGCCCCTTGCCCAGGGACAGCAGGAACGGACACTGCTTTACCAGCTTCTTGCACCTGGTACATTAATTTACACCTCTATTTGTCTTCCCAGACCAGACACTCGAAAAAGAAGTTTGGTAAGAAGTGCAAGGCTAAATTTTCTAACACAGGAACCATTTTGGACTCTTGTTCTAGAGATGCTGACAAGGAATTTTGATTTTCAATAATGTTTGAAGAAACCAGTCACTCAAGTAAAGTGGGAAACTTGCTTTTTTTTGAGCAAGTGGTCTTCCCTCATCAATTTGTATAGTATTGAAGATTAAAAATAGCTCTTCAGCTGGGGTACAGCTGTGCAGCATTGACTTAAATGGAGCTGCACTGACTCACAACAAGCAAGCATCTGTATATAGCCTTTTACTATTGCAAGCCACGTACCTTAGCACTAACAGTAAGTAAATACTGGGGTGGCATTTGCTGGAGCCGGTGGGCAGGCTGGCAAACCGCCACTGCTACTCCTCAGGTGTGCCAAACTACAGGACAGCAACTTGAGGATAGGTTGAAGTTAGCTGCCTGCTAAAAATCCCGTCTCCTTCTCCTTATCAGTACAGGAATGATGTGTCTTCTCAATGGCACTAGTCTCTTATAACATTAGACATCCTTTGTGCCTCCTTCTGTCTACCACCCCCTCTCCCCCCCAGCAACTTTTTGCACTGGCTGTAGTAACTCCTTTGTTTTCTAGGCCACGAAACCATTCTCCCCCCTCTCTAATAAACAGAAAACCAATATTACCAGTCAGCAAGCAGATATATTTCCATATGAAAAGTAACAAGGCTGTTCAAGGCTGACATTACAGAATTGGGATACATGAACACCACCACCCTGCGCCTTCTGAATTTTAAATTTTTTTTGAACAAACATAAACACTTTTTTCCCTTGTGCTCTGAATGCCTGATCTAAATCCCTGGTTGGATGCATTCAGCGCTAACACAAGGCACTGCAAAACCCATCAAACCTGGAGCAGATTCTTCCATGCCATCTGATTTCCTACAGAGGCTGGTACTCATGATCCACTAATATCAATACGAAAAATCTCCAGTGGGGCCAAGGTTTTCCTCCCGTGGGGCTGAATGTCAAGCTCTGCCTGAAACTTAGCAATTTTGGTCTAGAGCATGATGGACTTCACCTCCACCACCACCACTTCCCAGTTTTTGGTAGCAGCTTCTTCCTCGCCCCGTACCCAGCTCCCCTAGAGCTTTGGGGGTTCCCTGGCACCCCTCGGGCCCACACAGCCCCGACTGGTGAGAAAAGCTGGAACCAAGTGGGTAAATGAGAGCAGCCCAGCTTTCAGGTCACGCTTAGGGGACAAAAGAACTGCAATGTACACCAAATGCTCTCCCGGGAGGCTCCTTGCACAACTGCCCCTTCAGATAGGCTGACGCGGTGGATTCATGGCTCAAGTATCAGACAGAGGGGAAAGCATTGCACATGCTGCTAAACCACTATTAGAGTATTTGCCTACTGAGGTGAAGCTCCCTGTGCTTTCTAATGAATTCTCTGCATTTAGCATTAAGCTCTCTGTTTTTACAGAAAGTTACACTTGGGTAATTAATCTCATGTTCGTTTCCTGCACATGTAAGAGAGCAGCCTTTGTTAGGGAATGATAAGACACTTCTAAGAATAGTGCTACTAAGAGCATCAGCTTTGTAAGACATTACAGGAAAAATATAGGCTCTTAACACCTGCTTTTCGCTTTTCAAAGTTTTGAAAATAACGTTCTGCTTACCTAGAGCCAAATTTTGACTTGTTTATGCATAGAAAGCCTAATTGCTTTCATCGGAGATCAAGTGTAAATGAAGGCATAGTTTGGTCTTTAGTCTCCAGTCTTGCAAAGATGCATTTGTTTAATTTTACAAACACCGTAAATATTCTCAGTGGCCTCAGTGGGACTATCTGCAGTTTCCAGTCTCACAACATGAATTCATCACTTTGTCTGGTCTCTTAACTACAGATTCCACTGAAATTAATTGGATTTTCTTTGTGATTGGAATAGATTGAGGATTAAGTATTTGTCTGTGTGTAAAACAAGAGACCCCCGTCAGGACGGACCTTACAAAGGCCGGATGCTGAACTCAGGAAAATGTAAACTGGGAGACAACCCTGTGAGAGCAACTGAGTCGTTCCAGTGTCAGAGAGGTCCCAAGGAGCAGCAGACCAAGCCTGTGTTTGAAGCTCCCTGGAAGCTTCAGCTCAGACCACGGGTTTTGCCAGCTGAACACAAAGGGTGGTGTAAAGCTTGGGGATTTATGTCTGTTGTCAGTTCAGAATCAGAGCCAACACCATTCTCCTGTACACGGTTGACACTTGACACCTCCTGAAGTCGGTTTAAACAGGCATTGTTTTAAAGCTTGTGTTGTTTTTAAGCAGTCACTGTGGTTCAGCCTGAGCTATCCACCACCCCAGTGCAAGATGCATGAGCTACCATGCTGGTGAAACTATATAAAAAGTGGGAAAAAAAAACCCCAAACCAGTTGACAGCGGGTAAGAGACAATTTCCATTTGGTTTGTAGCATCCACTGTGTAACCAGTCATATGAGAAAGGACACTAATCTTTGCTGTACTTGCAGCAGATTTCTTTCTGCTTTATTATGGACAAAGGAGTGGTTTATCATGGTAACCAGAAAACAAAGCCTAATCTGCAGAGATCTGGCTAATCTAGTGGTTGATGTTTGAAGAATAACATGGACCAATTTCCTGAGGTTTTGCAGCACAAAATCTGAGCAGAGCAGAGTGCAACTGGTCTTGTGAGCTGATCAGAGCCCCTGTTGTGACTATTATCTTGGCTGTATAATGGGGGCTTTCAAATCCCAGCTTTATCACATTCTGTTTTCTCTACTTTGCCCTTTTATGAATATTGAGTCATCAAAAATAGCTTCACTGACAGAGTTACTAATGATACCAGCTGGGTGAATCAGTGGCTCTTACATTGTCTAGTGCCTGCTATACAGTGCTATTAGTACACTCGTTACAAAATGTAACAAAAATTAGATATCCGTATTTTATTTGCAGCTCCCTTGAGACACATCATAGTGGTTATTTTAGAATTGGAAAATGCTCACTGAATAAAGCAAATATGCTGCCATCTCAATGCAATACCGTGATCTAAAAGAAGAAACTCTGGCTTAGAGTAAGCTAAAAGTAAATTCTAACATCAGTAAATTATCCTTTCTCCTAGTTTTTAGTGCAAGGAAAAAATACGCTACCAAATGGTATCTACCACGTTCTTCGTGAGAGAGTTATTCCTCGTGTTACTAGATAAAGCTAACATCAGCAGTCCAGAAAAAAATGCTGATAAACAGAAGTGAATACGACAAATGATGTAAGCGATGTATATGGCTCGGGAGCGTGATAGAGACATATGGTAGCATCCTCCCAGTGCAGCGCAGTGCTCGGGGGTAAGTTAGGTTAGAAGTGCATGACTCAAATGAGCATTACTGATTCCAAAAGTGTAACAACAGTAACAACATGTCTGATGAAGAACCATCACAAATGAGTATGCAAAATGGCCCATGACGGGCTTGCATTTTTAATCCTGTCCCAAGCAATTTTTTAAGGATCATTTCTTTCTAGCCAGAGCGCCTTCCTCGCAAGCCCTGCAATGATACAGTTTCCTATGTTTGCAACACACACCCTTTTTTTTTTTTTTTTTTTTCCAGAAAAACAGGCAGGCAGATACAGACCGAAACAAGGGGCCCCCCTCTACACATAATGCAGTTGCGGCTCTCCAGGCATGCAGGGCTCCCTTCTTCTCGCCAGCCCCCTTCACCTTTCAGCTGTCGGGAACTTTGCAGGCTGGCATCTTCTAGCACCTCTTTATCACAGACAAAAAGTAAAGCTTCCTGCTAGCAACTGCATCTGGCATATTAAATCGGTAAATAAAACTATTGCAGATATTGCCTTTAGCAAGTGTCATAGAAATTACAGAGCATTTCAACAAAGCAGAGCCTTAGAATTTAAAGGATTAGGTTGGTTTGGGTTTTTTTTTCAGGCGGTTCTTGCCCTTCCCTGGAAAAGTGACATCTGAAATTCCGTTACAACAATTCTGTTCGTTACGGCAACATTAACTGAAACCGAAATGCGGTTTATAACCTAAGACACGTTGCATAACAACCGAAGTATTATAATCTTACGAGCCGGGAAAGGTTAATTCCAAAGGGCACAAGAATATCGGGGAAAACTACCATGCTCCGTAAGCGCATGGACTTGTAAAATCTTTTTGTTTTGGTCCAAGGCGACGCCGAAAGCGGGCGAGACGTTTCAAAGGAAGAGTAAAAAAAGACACCGAGCACATGCCGAGAAAAAAAAAAAAACACCAAAAAAACCCCCAAAAAACCAAACCAACCCAAACCCCCCAAACCCCATCAGCAGAGCCTCTGCACTTACGTATCTCTTGAGTTTCTTCTCGGGGGGCGATTTAATGAGCCATCCAGTGCAAACGACGTCCCCCGAGCTCATCTTCCCCCCCGGCGCGGCGCGGCGGCGCGGGAGCCAGGGTGCGGGCT